TAATTTCTGTTTACTTTAAAATGACACGGTATTATTAAGCAAATATCACAAGTATTTTAAAATCAGTTCCAAACTGATTTTTTTTTTCAACTCAAAAATTGTCTGGGAGCCATATGCCGTCACTGGAAGAGCCATATATGGCTCGCGAGCCATAGGTTCCCGACCGCTGCGCTACACGACGTGTCGCGGAAGTCGGTCACTACGCAGTAAAATCAACGCAAGCCTCCCGCTAAATCACGTGACGTCTGCGTGGCCACCCCAACCCTGAACCCCCCTCCCTCTGCCCGCGCACTGTGAAAACACGCGCTGCTCCGTCCAGCTGACGTCTTGCTGCTTTCATAGGTTTTTTCGTTAAATTCACGTAGGTAAAACATCAAAATTAATAAAAATAAAATAAAGATCACGACGTTTAGGATCTTTATTTTATTTTTATTAATTTTGATGTTTTACCTACGTGACTTTACCGAAAAAACCTAAGAATATGAATCCTTGCAGTCACGAAAGCTTCAAATCTAGAATTCTTGCTGCTTGCTCCCTCCTTCTCTCTCTCCCTCAGTCTCATCTCCTCTCATCCCCGGCATCTTGGCTCAGGCATGCCTTCTACTGCTCGTCCTCCTTCTCCCCTTCCTGCACCACTGATCCTTCTCTCTTGTTGCTGCTCATATTTGAGTCGTGCCCTCCTTATCTATCTTGGGTGACTTCCAGCCCCCGACCATGCCTTCCCCCCCTTTTCTGTTCCGTTTCCATTCATTACATCCGCACCTCCACTCCCCTTCCCCTGGTGTGTCACGGGGAAAAAAACATTTGATTGCGTAATTTAAGTCTGGAATTTAACCATTACTAATGAGTCTAATTGCAATATGCTGGGAATCTCCCATAATCAGAAAAGCCCCCCCGCCCAACGAAATATTCCAGCTTCGGGACGATTTACAGCAGTGGTTAATGTTCGTGTCCAAGTAAACAGATTTTTAAAAAGAGAGATGCATTTCTTATCATTTTATGACCTTTGATTCATTATTGGGCAGCTGCATATGGCATTAACATTCATTGGCTTCGTGCATTGGCTTCGTACCCTGCCAGTATACAAATCACTGACTGAAGTAATCTCCCCAGTACACTATTCTTTGCGTTGTGTTACTAACAATAACCATCAAAGTACACGTAGCTGTGGCATTTATCTATTTAAAAAAATAATTCACCATCAGGATGAGTGAAGGGGGTACGTGCACACCCTCGTGATACAATTCGTCTGTTAGGTTCTGCGCGAATTGGTGTGCGGCTGGCTCATATCCACAGGCACACTTTCTCCTGCACCCTCGTGTACTCGGCGATTTTTTTTAATTCCACCCCCTCTTCCAGTAGCACCGTTCGTGGCGAACAAAATTTTACTTCTGTTTTTGGGGAATTCATACGAGCTACATTCTTTAAACTGTACCAAAAAAAAGCGCCAATGCCGAGTTGCACAGCTGCAGAACAATGTGTGGCGCGTGTTTCCAGCGCGCAGGTTCACGAGCAATGCCTTGTCCCTTCTCCGCGGCCTCCCTTAGTGATTCGGATGACAAGTATTGCGGCTTCTACATCACGCAATTTGCCCTTGATTACCAACCGAAAAATGAGAGGTGGCCGAGTGGGCTAATCACTAATATAATGAGCCATGAATGTCTGTGTGTCGACCAGCCGCCCTCATTAATAATCATGAACAGGTGGGGTCCTCCACATGGACCCCCCCGTTATTAATAATCATGAACAGGTGACGTCACTCCGCATGAAGGTGGAGCGGAAACGAAAAATTGTTCACGCAAATTAGCTTTCATTTTGACCTTTCTTTATGGAAAGTAAAGCTAATAAAGATATCAACGCCGCAACTAATATAACGAGCCGAAAAAGAATGTGCGTGTCGCACGCGTGATGTCACTCCACATGGGCCAACCACCCCCCTCATTAATAATCATTAGTGGATGACGTCATTCCACATGGAGCCCCACCCCCTCATCAATAATCATGAGCCGATGACGTAACTCAAATAATGAGCGAGTCATTATTTTCTATTGAATATTTCAGATTAACTGTAATACACCCGTCCTTGGACGGGCTATAGGCGAGTACTATTATGTTAGAGCACTGAGCTGGCACCACGAACATCTTGGATTCAAATCTGGGCCAGTACATTATGCATGATTACGCAGTCTTCTCAAGGACACAGACTTGACAGCCTGATTACCAGTGAAAATACACAAAGCGAGCTCATCATATTAAAATGTAAGACAATGAGATGCCATTCTGTTCATTCACACCAGTACCGGTAATGTGTATATTATTCCTTGATTTAATAAAAAATAAATGTACTTATATATGTTTTTTAGTGATGGGAGTGCATTAATAGTGGTATGAACGAATTAATTATTGGTGTTACATTATCTTAAAAGATAAAAAAATGTATATAGCAGCAAAATATTCATACACAAACCTTCAGAGCAGAAATAAGGCAAAAAGACTTAAATCAACTAGAGATGACATTTTATACTACACAGTCCTCTATCTCGGAAATACTGGAGAATCATGAGGAACGTTGAAATAAGCAGTTTGGGTTTGACACTGGAACGCGTTCCATTACATTTATTTAGCTTTTGTTGCTTTCATTGGGCAAATCTCAGCTCTAAGGGTCAAAAAGAAAATAATTTTTTATGCAACGAGCACTATTCCCACAGCCTATAAAAAGGTGTGAATAACGGGCTTATTGAAGAGAAGTTAAGAAGCAGCAGCAGCTGTGTGATTTAATTCGACCTGTTCTGCTCACTCCACTTGCTCACCGCCAAAGTTCTCAGTCTCATTGTGGCGGCAATAGCATGACCGAAACATCCTTGTGCAAGATAAGGGGGAAACGAATTACAACAAAGTCCACGGTCCGCCCATATTTTACCGTGAAAAATTACAGTTTTCACAGCCACTATCAACGCGTGGCAACGTAAAAGTGTGATATAAGATTTTGACCGCGATGAACGAATCGTCGAGGACCAGTTATACACAGCCTTGGTGTAAATTGACAATGTTTGTGTTGAGTCACCACATTGTTCACGACCCACAAGTTTGTCGCCTCTCTCCGACGCTCTAAAAAGTGACCATTTCCTGAGGCGCCTGATAAGTTGTCTGTTGATGTCACAGGAGGAATCGCAAACATCTAACATTCCAACATCGGGGACAGCTGGCAGCAAACATCCACGTGGTCCTCCACCATCACAAATTGCTCTTGTAATTGTGTCAACTCTCACCACCACTTCTGAGATTTAAACTGCCATTCATCTGCCAACGCTCTTGTAATTGTACCAACTAACGCCACCATCTCTAAGACTTGAATGTCATTCATCGGGCAACGCTCTTGTAATTGTGCCAACTAACGCCACCACTTCTGAGACTTGAATGTCATTCATCGGGCAACGCTCTTGTAATTGTGCCAACTAACGCCACGACTTCTGAGACCTGAACGTCATTCATCCGGCAACGCTCTTGTAATTGTGCCAACTAACGCCACCATCTCTAAGACTTGAATGTCATTCATCGGGCAACACTCTTGAAATTGTGTCAACTAACGCCACCATCTCTAAGACTTGAATGTTATTCATCGGGCAACACTCTTGAAATTGTGCCAACTAACGCCACCATCTCTAAGACTTGAATGTCATTCATCGGGCAACACTCTTGAAATTGTGCCAACTAACGCCACCATCTCTAAGACTTGAATGTCATTCATCGGGCAACACTCTTGAAATTGTGTCAACTAACGCCACCATCTCTAAGACTTGAATGTCATTCATCGGGCAACACTCTTGAAATTGTGTCAACTAACGCCACCATCTCTAAGACTTGAATGTCATTCATCGGGCAACACTCTTGAAATTGTGTCAACTAACGCCACCATCTCTAAGACTTGAATGTCATTCATCGGGCAACACTCTTGAAATTGTGTCAACTAACGCCACCATCTCTAAGACTTGAATGTCATTCATCGGGCAACACTCTTGAAATTGTGTCAACTAACGCCACCATCTCTTAGACTTGAATGTCATTCATCGGGCAACACTCTTGAAATTGTGTCAACTAACGCCACCATCTCTAAGACTTGAATGTCATTCATCGGGCAACACTCTTGAAATTGTGTCAACTAACGCCACCATCTCTAAGACTTGAATGTCATTCATCGGGCAACACTCTTGAAATTGTGCCAACTAACGCCACCATCTCTAAGACTTGAATGTCATTCATCGGGCAACACTCTTGAAATTGTGTCAACTAACGCCACCATCTCTAAGACTTGAATGTCATTCATCGGGCAACACTCTTGAAATTGTGCCAACTAACGCCTCCACTTCTGAGACCCGAACGTCATTCACTGGGCCTCCTGGTCAGATTAGCAGCTATTTCAAGTCACCCGTCTTTTATTATAAAATGTTGATTTTAGACAATTGGTTTGGCACATCATTGCGAGTTGTTTAACGATGCTTTTAAAATGATGGGTTAGAAAACAAAAACATATGCGTACTGCGTATTTTAATCAGAATATGTATTTATACTGGAAGAATCCAAACTATTTAAATAAACACCTTAACCTGTATGTCTCAAAAACCTCTAGGGTACTTACTGACAAGGTAGAGAGCTGACATTTGGTACTTATGTAAAGACAGTATGGAGCGATAGAGGGACAGTATGGTTCCCCAGGAACATGTTACTAATGGACGTGCTAATAATAATTGATGGGACAAGCATAGACAAGGTCACGTGAGGGGCAGCACGGGATCCATTGGTGGGAAAATGTAATAAGGGCGGAGATTGACCGAGCCAGGTGCGGTGAGGAAAATTCGTGAATAGGGGCGTGGCCGGATTTGGCGAGGCATAAGAGCCGGTGGGAACTGCACCTGGGAGCTGTGAGTGTGGGGAATCGCCGGAAGACAACTTCACGCCACTGCCCCGGCATGCGAGTGTGGCGCGGCGTTCGTGAAACTTACCGGCAGACGCGCGAGCGAACGAGCTGCGCGAGATGAGCACGCGGTCGTTTGAGGCTCGCACCCAGTCCGGCATGCCGCGCCGGCCCTTCACCGGGAACACAACGTCTCCCGCCACGTCCGCGGCCGACAGCTTGCTCACTCCGACCACTGCAAATCGCACCGACCGTCACAAGTCCCGCTTACTCGCAGCAAGCGTCGTTTGAAAAGCGCACAGTTGCTGGGCTACCTTAAGTCCAAAGGGACAGAGTCCCAAGCGATCGGCAACAAGCAGCGCTATTATTGATGCTGTAATAGACAAGAGTTGTGCACTTCTTTTACTTGAGCAAGTTTGCAAGAGACTTGGGAAAATAGACGATGACCCCAATGTAACTCAAATTATATATATTTTTAAGTGCGTCATTAGCGGGAATATTAAATGATTGCTAATTCAGCCAAATGGATTATTGGTCCTACCACTGTCAAAACTGTTGACACTTACACCACATCCATGTATCATTACTCACACACCGGAAGGAATGAACTATTCTACTGCCATTTGATGTTGTGTTAGACCAGTGGTTCTTAAGCTTTACTGCAGCCTTGCACGCCTTTGGTTCTCAATCTTTAAAAAATACGTTAATAAATAATATAGGTTTGATGACACAAAGTATTTGTACTTCCGTGCCACTGCTTAATTTGTTTAGATGACTTACCTTCTAAAAAAATCTGACCATGTCTCGCACCCCCAGGGCATACGAGATGCCCTCAGGGGGTGCGTGCACCCCAGGTTAAGAACCACTGCTTTAAAAAAACATTTTGGATATCATTCACTGAACATACATAAAATTCACAAATACACATATTACAATTATCAGCCATCATGGATTATAATTTCGATTTTAGAGCATAATGCGATCTGTAAATCACGTTTACACACTGGTTCATGTAACATTCCAAGAAAAGGAAACTTATATAATCTATTAATAATGAGCATACAGTTTATAATACAACAATGAGCATACAGTTTATAATACAACAAAAACAAAGACTAACTAATGCCTCTCTGTTTACCATGGACAGATGGACAGAGCTAGTCCTCTTTGAGAATACTCTCAATAATAATCCACTAAATGAACCAGCAAGGCTACAATGGTTGTGACAAACATCATGCCTCACCAACTTTGCCTGTCCACTGTTGATCTTCACACTACAGCTGTAGCTACTTATACATAGTTGAACTGACACAGGGGAGGCCCAGGAAAGGAATAGGGCAGGTTCTACGACATGTTTTGTGGAGGGCCAGGGAATGTGACAAGATCACCAGAATCTTCACCCACTTTACGGAGTACACTACTTCTTGTCACAATCCAATGTTGATAAATCTACAATGGAGCAAAGGCAAGCCAGACTATTTCAAACCAGTTTATTATTTTAGGTGGGTCTACATTTCACATGCAGAAGGAACAGGGGAGCCATACAGGATGGCTTGCGATGACTCTCCTGCCACTCTTAGGGGTTTTGGTAAATTCCTTTGGTTTGGCTGATGCTGCATTAAGCATTCTTGCTATGCAATGTAAAAGACAAATATGGTCGGATGTGACTTCGGTAACCTGCAGTGACCCCGTTGTTCTTAAATACAAGGGTTGTGAAGGTGTTCATTGTCTTAGTTTTGTAGCACATTAGGAATGGACTACTCTTTTAATTATTTCCCCGTGAAGCAAGGGAGTAAAGTGTGGTTTTGTGAAAGTCCTTATGTGCTGTGCAGTACATCAATACATGTGTACACCAGCGTGTGATAACTGAGTTGAGCCTGTGGGTGGCTGGAAGGGTTATTGATTAACCGGACTTGTACACCAGTCACGTGGTTAATGGCGACTCGGTTGAGGAACACAATAAATGTGTTTGCTGTCGATATGGAGCACCTGCCCACGTCCTTCATTTCGAGTGTGCAACAATTTCCTTAAAATATTTATAAAAAACGTAGTAGGCGAATAAAGATAATAAAGTGGTAAGCATGAGAGAGAACAAACCAGGGAGAGAATACGAATGAGACTACAAACATGAGACGGAAAAGAACACTGATGAACAGAATCGCAACCCTGAATCATGACACTTCATAAAATCGCGTGTGGTGATTCATCGCATACCTACCATCAAGTCACCAATCTCTTATTGCAAGGGTCTATTGGGGATCGTTGGCTGTTGGGTGTGAGATTGGGGATGGGGAGATTGTGATGTGGTAAACAAGAGTGGGGCAGTGTGGCTCATTATGTAATCAGAAAATCCTCATCTGAGAGGGGTACTTTTTTTATAATTGCTATTTCAAAAACTATTCACATTCAATTTGGTCATGCACTTAACTTGACTGAATTCCAGCTCTGAGAATTAAATACTGTGTAAAGCAGAGGTCACTTGAAGGGGTCTCAGTGGTAGCTCTGTGATATATGCTTCCATGGATAGTTCTTTATCCAAGCAGATAGTTCTGTACACTGCTTTGTGAGGGACATGACCAAAAATATAAAGATTGAACACATTTCAGTGAACACATTCTCACGCCCCAAAATGCTAACTCTTTATATTATGATGTTATTTTTTTTAACCCCACGTTTTTATGCTGTTCCCATTTGATAATGTTACCTATAGGGTACTGAAGAATGTTTTGGATAGGCTAGCTGGCTTTAACAAGTGGCGATGCACTGGCACTTACAGTATTACAAAGAACAACAAAACATGAAAATATTCAAATTGCACTGATTATATTTGTAGAACTGTAATGAGTTAAAATGGGGATCTGATAGGCGTAACAATATGATCATTGATTTAAATAATCTCAAATCAAGATTGAAATTATCTCTTTATTAAAATATAAATGCATTCAAACGTGCACCCATGGAGCTTTTTAAAAGCTTGTAATACACAATTACTGCATGAATTAACTTGTATTATTTTACACGATGGTTTAAACAAAAAAATATATGATTCAATGTTAATATATGGAAATTACATGTTCCATTTTTGCATAAACGAAACTGCTTATGGAATTAAATTGTTGTTTATCCCGGATCAAAAAAGGTGGAAATAATAAATAAAAACGGCAACGTGATGATCGTTTCGACGGCTCTGAATTCTCTGCACCATGCGCAAAGGTTGACAAACACTGAACGCGTTCAGACGAGCCCTGAAACTTAATCATCCGAAGCATCTCCCTCTCAGAGCTATGGCATATTGCAAAAGGTGCAGTAGCAAAGGCGCACGCCAATAGCCTGACAAACAATAAAAATGTTATCGAATTAAGAGACTGAGTGCATTGTTTATCACCGGTTGCACAATGACACGTGTTGTAATGGTGAGCGCATTAGACTTGCAGTCCGTGGGATTTGCAAGTCTCTGACCATAGAGAGGTATTATTTGAATAGACCACAGTTCATTGATCAGAAGGTCGAATATGATGGGGTCAAGTGTGGGTACTGCCACTTTTTAACGTAATAAGTCAGCATGCAGGATATGGACAAATACCCTCCTTCTAGTGGAGACTCTTTCGCCTTCAGTCAAGCAATCACAGAGCTGCACCATTACCGTCTACCAAGTGGCATTGACATAAGGAGTGGAGAAAAAAAACAACCCCTAGACAAACTGGATGTCAAAAGTTGAGAACTCAACTGGCTGTCGCCTGATGAAGCTAGTTGTAATTACTGGCGAAATGTCGTACTCAGATTGTAAATGTTGTGGATTTACACCGGTTGTGCTGTACTCGTAACGAATTGGCACATTATGTTTAGGTGACAAACCTTACTAATTGCCGGTGTCAGGTAGTGGCGGGTTTAACGGCACATTTATACGTTCACGTGATCTAACCCAAATAAAACCTGAAATTCTAGAGAGAAAAAATATTCCTGTAAATTTAAATTTACTCCCAAAATATTATCGATGCGAAACACATTTTCTCAGTCAAATTTGCATCAATATATTTTTTGCAGCTTTATTTTTCTTGGTATGCTTGCCGACATCTTATCCTGCCGCACTTGGCGCCTGCAAACGTAATAGGAATGTGTACAGCTTGCTGGACATAAAGGAGACTCATCCGGCGTGCGCTACAGCACATCCTCGCTGGCCTGGGAGGCACACTCCAACTGCTTGGCAGCATCATTGGCGTAAAACCAATTGGGACATTAATCTGTAAACGCCTGGGGGATGTAGGTTGGGTATATACCAGTACAGTGTCCACGTAAACTAATTACTTGTTCTCAGCTGCAAAATGAAATACGCGTGATTGTTCGCGCTAATCCTCTGGTAATAACTACACCTAATGTGCAGAGATGTGCCTCTGAGGTAGTACGCAAGATAAGCAAAAACATTGGAAAGCACATATTTCATTAAAAAAATACAAGCAACAAATGTTTTCCAACGGCCGTGCGTCGCATATACATTCACGTAGCAGGCGAGCGGTGTGCTATTTGAGATAAAACAATTTAAGCAGCGTAACTTGTTTAGAATTCTAATGAAATACCTACGTTATGATATACAACCCCGATTCCTGAAGCAAAACCTATTTCAATCTACTGAGCATAACCATACTTTAATGAGGCACAGCGTTTGTGCTCGCCGCACATCCTCAATGCACAGTGAATATAAACTTCTGCACTGGCAGTTAAAATTATTGAAAGAAGCCGTGTTGATTTGAAGACATCTCCACACTTGTGGCGGTCAGTCGTTGTGCTCAACTTAATGATCAATCATTTAATAGCGTATCTTTTTTTCACAGGTTCATCACCATGACCATCAACCATTATCTAGCCACTGCTAGATGAAGTCCTTCCTACGTCAAACATCATTTGCGCTCCTGTGATGTAAAATCTCACAGGCACGTTCCCCTGCTATTCTGCCACCAATCTTGTGCGTTGGCAATCATCCCTTCTGGCTACATGTCCTGGCCAAGCTAACTTTAATCTTTGTTTTTCTTTCTCCCCCCCTCTCGCAGTTTTATTCGAATTAGGCTGTCGGCTTCAGACGATGAATAAATGTCTCTTCAGAAACATTGCAGCTTGCAGTGGATCACCCCTGTGGCAGAAAACGGCCCAAGAAGATGACATCATAGAACAACCGCAATGTACATGTCTCAGAGCTGAAATTTAGGCAAATAAAATTAAACCCCAAATACTCTTTGGTTCTTTCGGTAAAGTCACGTGACTGCAGTCGCGAAAGCTTCAAATCAAGATTAAACCCCAAATGCTTCTATTTTGGTTTTTCCCTTTTTTTGCGGACAATGATTGGTGTGTGGGCTTAAGACCATTAATTCACGACGTTTGAGAAGGCAGTTTAATCACAGGTTTCTTTCCCGATTAGAATCTCGGATCTCCCCGGCACCAGCTCCGTGCTCTCAGCCCTGAGCCACCAACCAGATCTCTGATCAATGTGTTCTTATTTCTATCTCTCAGCGTGAATTCCCAGCATGTGTATCTCTCTCCACATTATTTTCGGCTTTCAGGTTATTGTCTTCAAAATGTGCCATATTTCTTAAAACGTGATATGAAAATATCTAAATATTTCAATTAAATAATGTAGTCGCGTTGTTTTTCTCTTTCCCGAAATCACATTTTGCCATCTAATTCTTTTGAATGTAATCTTACAATTCCTGCCAGGACGAGAGTGCAAGATGTTGTAAGCGTATCGATTGTGATGCCAGAAAGAGTGCCTCAAGGTTTATTTCCACTTAAAGAGTTTAGCAATCGTATCATTTGTAAACAGCACTTACCCAAATTCTCCTTTACAAAGTACGAGTCGTAGTAATATTTCATCCCCTCTCCTATCATGTGCAAAAAACCTTCCAGCATGTCCATGAAGTTAGAAATTGCAGAATAAATCTGGAAGAATAAACGCAAACATTACCAAATTAATAACACATCAAGACAATAATAGCTGACTGCGATAAATAGATTTTGAGACAGTGAATAGAAATGGGAATTTGTCTGCAGGCCATGTGATTCCTACAATTCCACAAGAGACAGACAATTGATGCAGAAATTGTGATTCTTTTATCGATGATTTCCCATTTTAAATCTACATTCATATCAATTGGATTCTGCAATCGAAGATTTGAGCAAAATAATGGGATTCTACTGTGATTCTATTGTGATTCTATTGCAAAACTAACTTTAGATAAGCTTCAGCTTTGCTTGGCACAGCTAAGCAACCAGCCAGTTTGTTGATTCTGCCTCCTCCAGATGGCCAGATTCCCCATTGAATGCATTGCAATGCATCGCTAATGCATAGTAATGCATGAAATTGGCTAATTTCCACCCTGATTCTGGCACAAAATGTATTACATAGGCACAGACCTTGCATGTCGGTGGCAATTCCGATAGACTAGCCAGAACCCCCCAAGGCCATTCCTGAACGCTGTGCTGGGTTACGCGTAATCTGGCTAACCCCAATTCCAAAAACGCTGATCCCGTTTTGGAAGAAATCAGGTTCCATTCTAAGATTGGAATCATGATTCCGGCTTAGGAATCGTGAGAATCACAAAGCTCCAAACGGTGCCTTGATGGATCATGAGGACCTCTAGAAGTTTCTACAAAGGTACTAAAAAGTCACATCAACTTTCAAGACCTTGGGTTCATTACCCAAATAAAATAAAAACTAAACTGAGGCATGGAATAATATCAAGTGCATTGAAAAATGATATTAACAAATATTTTAACCAGCACAGACAGCGATGCCATATCAGAGGTTTATAAGTGGGATCTGAACAAGCTCGTGTTAGTCTCATAGGTATGATATTTCTAACTCTGAACAATAATTAACATTGAAAATGTGATACTAACTGAACAAGCACGAAACTATTCATCAGTGGCTCATACTACTTCGCGGAATCATACTTTAATTACTGGTGAGTTGTTTGTGGTAGCATTAAGATGAAGATGTTGTTTTGCCGAACACAAATCCTCATTCGTTTGTTGTTTAATTTTCTCTCGTGACCCAATGTGCTAAAGTGTAATTGAGGCAAAAGCGAGTATCTTTCGAACACAGGTTTTTACCACTATTGCTCAGGACAGCAATGCTCACGCTCACTTTAAAATGTCACAAATTAAATAAACAAACAATAACAAATAAGCTAGCGAACAATATACTTCCTCATATTGGTCTCTCTACGTAAATAAATTAAATACGTTTGTACACATCCCATCAGCCTCACGGCCTTCTAGGACTGCCTTCAACACGAGCAAAGGGTATTGTAGGATGCACACTTCTTTTCTATCATTTCAACTGAAGCAAATATTTAAAGATATAGCAAAACAACCTACACACGCACGGTAGTATTTGTTATGAGACTGAATACAATGAGGTGCACATTGCCTGATAAATGATAATGCTCACCTCTGACGTGTCCTCCCAGTGCTCCCTGTGGACATCCGCGACCAAGTTACTGTACGACTGAAGCACATTCTGCACAAGGCAACAAATACACACGCGTTGTCAGCTGCATCAAAAGAAAACATTAAGTTACATTGAAAATACCCAGCATTTCATCCAGCCAGTTTTGTAAGTGACAGTTGAAGGATCGAACCATCAATCTTGGACTTTCAGTTACGGCCCCCGTGCAGGTTTTATGGAAGGGGGCGGCGGTAATGGAGAGCCGGCCGAAAGCTGCCCTTTGCGTGCCGTGGTTTTTCAATTGATCCCACTTTAGGTCGGATGTTGTTTCTCTGTCGAGATAGCGACTAGGTTTTTTTTTTTTTAACCAATTTTTTTTGTTAAAAATGGCAAGCAATCGTGAGTTGTGGCGATTTTGTGAGCGCTGTTTAATTGACAGCTACAAATTGTGAAATTGGTGTAAATTGTTATCGTGCTCGGGTCCGCAGCGAATCGATGTACACCTTCCCGTATCAAATTTAGTGAAACACGAGAATGGAAGAGCGGAGACGGCGACACCTCGCAGCTTGCCGGGTACGGCGAAGCCACCGCCTCGGCATGCCAAGTGCACATTTAAATAGTGAACCAAAAGAATACCCACTGACCAGGGATGGCTGGTGGATGAAACAATCCACAAGTCTGTGCCCAGTGTGCACCCCTTTCACGAGGGGATCTATACACTGGTAAATTGTAATCGAAGATATACGAAGGCGCCACACGCGGCGTAATGGAGGTATTAGGTTTACAACAAAGTTGTCAAATGACGGCCACCAATACTGCTGATCCCAACCCCCCACCAGAAAAAGCCACTTAAATCCGAAATTGCTACCAAATAACTTGAAAATGTTCTATTATGCATTACACATCCCACATATGTATGTACGTAATTCAGGCAATTGGGCGTGCGGTTTGTGATACCGTCCAACACTGGATATATCCTTTCAAAGTTTCCACCCTTTGAAAAATATCCCAATCTTCAATATCCAAATTCTAATCCGGGTTTTCTCTACCCCGGCTATCGTCGACGGCGCTTTTGCACCAATCAATGCCCTATCGATGATGCTTCGCTCCCCTGGGCCTCCATCTCGCCCCTCGCCTCTCTCCCCGTGCTTGTGAGTGTTCTCCTTCTCCGGACGATCGATCCCCGCTTGGCGCTTCATTGTCCGTCCCCATTTAGGAGTCGCGCAGGACGGATCAGAGTAAAACCTCTCCAAGCCAGGCTCATCGGGGTGGGTGGGGGGGGGGCCTTGCTGTTATGGGGAGGAGATAGCGGGGGGGGTAGTGGGGAGGATTGCGGGGAGGGGATGGGGGGGTCAAAGAGGAGGGATAGCTGGGGGGGGGGGGAGATAGCGGGGGGATAGTGGGAGGGGGGATTGCAGAGGGGATGATTGTGGGACAGGGATGGGGAGGGTAGCGGGGGGGGGGGTAGCGGGGTGATAGTGCTGGAAGGCGGAGGGTGACTGGCATGCTGCAAACTGTTCGTCAATTGTGAATGAACTGAATTAAAATTACAATGAAACGTGATTATCACCTAATACATTTAATTAACGTGTGATAGGTGAGTAAGTATTAACTAAATATGTGGAATGTATAAATTAAAATTCCAGTTTAAGCCCAACCACTTACAAACATCCCCGTGAAGTAGAGCTAGAAGGCTGACAGTTCACTTGATTGTAAGAAGGTCGAGTACATTTTCAGACGGATTTAGAAATATATTTTGTTTGTAAAGTCAATGTCAATGCTACGAATGAGAGAGAGGGCACGAGTAGACCCCGTGGGTGCCCAAGGCGTTCACCAAATTACAAACAGCAGATAAGTCAACAGCTTTAGAACCAAACAAGCACTGGATTCGAACCCAGTGCCTCAATGGTCCACACAATTAGCACCGTTGGTTACGTACGGTCCGAAAGAAATGCATACATAGACTGGTGCCAACTCAGCACTCTGACCTTTGAGCCACACGGCCACCGTGATGATATAATTAACCGAGTTAGAGCGACAGTAACAACCCAGTTTATTATGTGGGGAATGCGTTACTCAAAGGTGCCAGGACGAATATTGAAACGACGTCAATCCAAGCAATGTTCATGGCAGGTGGTGGAGGCGAAGGCTGAGAGGCCGGACGACGCTGTGAGCGATGCGAGTGTGGGGTTGGGGCGACGCTCATCGGGCAGCGGTTTGAATAATAAAGTGACGACGTTTTTGCGAAACGACATAAAAGGGGGAGAAGTCATTCGAAGTATCACTGTAGTTGTGAGCCAACACAGTAATACTACTTTTAATTCATAGTAATAATAATCATTATAAAATCACTTTTTTGCCGTAGAGCAAATAAACACTGGAATCTATCGGGATGCGGAACAATATCACTACGTGCACATAAACAGGAGACACAATTTATTTTAAATGTTAAACCCGACAAAACGACAAGTTGGGTGGCTTCAGAAACGGCGTGACACCGATGGCAAAGCGTCTCCCAGCACAGCAACCGCAGCTTGTCGTTTTTTGTTAGTTTTTTGTTAACCTTTATACCAGTTAAAACATATACATATGAATACGTTTGTTCTGGAATAAAAAAAAGTAATCTCACAAGCTCAGACCGTAACACCTCTGAGTTGCGTTGTGAGTGGCGAGTTGCTCGTGACACGTGTCGCACTGTGGGTGTCTTTTTCAAATCCCTTTAACGACAACTGAGACATATCTGTATCCACTTAATTGTGCAAGATTTTTCTTTGCTCATTTATCTTGAGCCCAATTTTACAGCCATTATTATCATCATCATCAAGTCCTTTGCTATCGTTCCTCAGGGTTCACTTACACATCACTTAGAAATAATGTATATCAAGTTCACTTAGCAATTAAAAACATGTTGTGTCAGAGGGACACGACTGCAAAGAGAGTATAATAATATAATGATTACTTATTTATCCAGGAGAATCACAGTGAGTAGCAGGACTCTTTTTCAGGAGGGTCCTGCTGCATTGGGTTTATATTTTAAGATATTTTCAGCCAATGCATGACGTGTGTTTATTATTCACGTGGGGAGGAAACCAAAGCATGCAGAGAAAACTAACGCGGGTGAGAGGGCAACATTCTATCCCCATACAGATGGATACAGATGGCGATTAGTCCACTTGCTGTACTGCCTTCGTCTATGCGAGAGCCGAGCTCTTGTTAGCACCTGATGATGCTGGTTTTAATCTCCAGCGAAAAAGTCGTAACAAAATATTGTCAAAATTTTGCTTGCTTTTCAACATTCCAGTTTTCCGATGAACCAAATTAATTGGCCATATTTTCCCACGTGGCAGCGAGATTTGAGTGGCTCTTGCAAGTAGGGCTGCGTTATGGTTAAATAGAAAAATTACCTACACGAACTAACCCTGAAATAACTAAACGAATCATAATATTGGTCATGAAAGCCTACACATACAATCATACCTAGGGCAGTTATTTACAGCGTACCGAGATCAAAATAATGAAACATAGGGAGCCAGTTACAGCGCTTTTAAAGAGCTGATCTTGATAATGAAAAGAAACGTATGTATCTATGTATGTTGAACTTATTTCGCACCATACGTAGTCAACTGAAAATCGGAGGTGCAGGGGAAGGACAACAATACGTGTCAGTTTAACACCTAGGCTTTCGTGACCAATATTATCCACAATAGAGGTTGTTCGGGGTATACCACGTAAATATAAATGTGTCGTTAAACCTGCCACCACCTGACACGTGTGTAAAGTTATGACTTATGACATTGATCAGAGAGGTGAACACTGCCACATAAAACTGAACCAATGCTGAAAAGCACGCAAAGAAACATGGAGAGATGCATGATTGGAGTTATGCCGAGAGGCAGAAGAAGCAACATGTGAATCAGACAACAAAAGCACATCAGAGACATCGCATTGACTGTTTATGAAAGCAAGTGGGCTTGGGAGGGACACATGAAATAGAAGGAACGGTCACGGCCGGATGAGGCAGGTGATGAAATGGAAAAATATGGAACATGCCGAGAGGATGTCCAGAGGAGAAGCAGCGATGACATCAGCTCATGTGCAGGAGTGAGATAAATTACGGCATCGTGGGAGAACGAGGGATGGCAACGACATGGGGAGGCATTTAATCTAGCAGTGAGTAGACCACCAACCGATCAATACAACCTTAATCATGCGCCATATTCAGCAAAAATCTGAGACAGACGTGTAGATCGCACTGAGAAAATGAAACTAAATTAAACTAAACGGAAGAGAAGGAACGCTTTATTTTCGTCCGGTCTTAAAAGCACCGATTGTCAAGGCTGACTGGACTTCAGTTGGCAAGCTGCTCCAGACCCCGATGGCGAATCGGAGGTGTTCACACACACATGGCTGACTTTCAGGGGCTTATAGACCTTTGTGGCCCATTGACCAGCCAGATCTGTTTTCTTCTAATTATAATTTGCGTTGAATTTCCGTACTTAGCTTTGTGCATGTTGATGTGCCCAGGTATTGTTGTGGAAGTGGATTGTCGGGAGTGCTTTGTGAAATCCATTTCATGAATAGCGCCACAGTGATGTATCGCTAAACTAAGCTCCATCACGCTCACGTATAAGTGGATGACGTGGGCTCATTTGTTAAGACTGTTGGCTCAAGCATTGGAACGTTTGGCAGTTAAAGGTGCTGAGGCTGTACACGCCATTCTGATGGGGAACTTTTTAAAGATAAAAAAAATCCAATGATTAATTTTACACAGTATCGTTCATCCAAATTGCATCTCACAATTGCTGAGGAACCACAGACAAGCTGGAAGGCTGCCAGGCATCGCCAACAATTGCTCTGCAGTTCTTTACATATTAAGATGTTTTCAGCCAATCAGTGAGTGTTTATTATCCATAACAGTTTTTTGGGGTTATATCGTGTAAATATAAATGCGTTGTTAAACCCACCACCACCCGACACAGCCAATTAATAAGGTTTGTCACGTAAACGGAATATGCCAATTCGTTACTAATACAGCACATCGGTGTGTTGGAGAGCAAATCCACAACTTTTACAAGAAGGGTAAAAAACCAATTATCATATTTTTACTGGCAAATGAGGTTCCAATGGTGTAAATGCTTACCCGAGCTCTCATACTCTGATGGTGCATTGTCTTTGAGTTGTGCGCCTTTTGGCGTCATCTGGTCCAACCCATGTGAGACTAGGCTCTAAGGAAAGCTGTCTCGGGTGTGGACCAATCAACTTCAAGGACAGTGCACATTATCAGAGTTGTGTTTTTTGTTTGCATTATGACTGCAGGTATTGTGGTCTATGCAAACATGACTCCTTGTAAAAAGGTGTCAGTTTGTTGCCAGATAGAAAGGTAAAAAAACAATTATCATATTTTTACTGGCAAATGAGGTTCCAATGATGTTAAACAGTGTTTATTATACATGTGGAAGGAAACTTGAGCACCCGGAGAGAAGTCCCACATGCGAGGGGGCAAGACTCTATCCCGTACAGAAGGGACAGAGCATATCAAGTCCACACTTCTGTTGGCGAGCCAGGGTATCACACCTCCTCGATGTCCACGGAAAGTTTGTCTCGCCACATTTTGTCAATTATGTGGTGAGCCACCAACCCTCGCTGCTGCCTCCACAGTGCTGGATTACAGGCAGCTGAACGCAGAGCCACCACCACCACCACCCGCCCGGCTGATGAATCTTACGGCAGCGTTTCGCGATGGGGTGTTGCACCTTGTTCGTAAGTTGTTGCGATTTTCAGGTAGTAAAAGGGATTTCGTTTACCATTGAAGCAGTGTTGATGATATTTGGTGTGTGTGAAAGGGGGTCAGAGGACATACTACGTGAGAAGGGTGTGGGTTTAAAGATAATACGTTACTAACTCTTTATTCTAGATAACTCTGGCAATATAAGATACATTTTTCATATTCTTAGGTTTTTTCGGTAAAGTCACGTAGGTAAAAAACATTAAAAAGTAAAATAAAATAAAAATCACGACGTTTCGGAGGCAACACAAGCTTCCGTCTTCAGGTGGTACCGTCACAGCCACGACAGCTGTATCAAGTAAATGAGAGATTGCAGAAGCTACCACTCCGTTTATATAATGGTTGGAGAAGGTGGTGGGGCAAGGGCCGCATACTTTTATTAATATGGTAAGGTGAGGCTTAAGACTAAAAATAGACTGCATAACAAAGGCTGAGCTTTTGTTATGGAGAGGTGCGGTTTGTGACTCAACCTGTAACAGGGAGACCACCACTAGACATGGTAAAACTGTGATGGTTGTCTGTCAAATACGATTGGCAAATAAGTGTAGTTAAATCTTTTTTTCATGGTTAATCACATCTTTCCAATGATTACTCAGTTTGTAACCGTCATCACGGTTGAAATTATGTCTGTGTTTGTATATTTGTATGGCTTCGAGGTTTGCAGAGAACCTTGGTCTCGGAAAATACAATACAATTTCATGAGAGTATTTTCCGAGACCAAGGTTCTCTGCAAACCTCCTGGCTACCATCATAGGTTTGTACACGAAGCCATACAAATATACAAACACAGACATAATTTCAACCGTGATGACGGTTACAAACTGAGTAATCATTGGAAAGATGTGATTAACCATGCAAAAAAGATTTAACTACACTTATTTGCCAATCGTATTTGACAGACAACCATCACAGTTTTACCATGTCTAGTGGTGGTCTCCCTGTTACAGGTTGAGTCACAAACCGCACCTCTCCATAAGAAAGGCTCAGCCTTTGTTATGCAGTCTATTTTTAGTCTTAAGCCTCACCTTACCATATTAATAAAAGTATGCGGCCCTTGCCCCACCACCTTCTCCAACCATTATATAAACGGAGTGGTAGCTTCTGCAATATCTCATTTACTTGATACAGCTGTCGTGGCTGTGACGGTACCACCTGAAGACGGAAGCTTGTGTTGCCTCCGAAACGTCGTGATTTTTATTTTATTTTACTTTTTAATGTTTTTTACCTACGTGACTTTACCGAAAAAACCTAAGAATATGAATCATTGCAGTCACGAAAGCTTCAAATCTAGAAGATACATTAATCTTAGGCGGTAATAAGAGAAAAACATTTGTATGTTTCTTTTTCAAGTGTCGGTCGCGTTGTCGTCTTATTAGACAAATCATTTTCCATTTCCAATGCACACAAGCAAGCAATTGGCACAATTACACAATGTCTCACTGCAAGAATTTGTCAAATAATAGCCCTAGGGAGTTACAGAACAGCTTATAATGTCACACAGTTGCCTCTTATCCAGAGTAGGTGGTGTCACTTTTAAACATTCCTTGCATCAGGTGTTGGTCACATGGCGTAAAAAAAAACGTAATTCTCAAAACTGGAATGTCAAATAAATGTGAGAAACCAAATGTAATGTGTTTCTTGTGTGCGTGTGTGTAATGTAGATTCAACCTCCGAATCTCAGTGGTGCTGTCTCGCACTGCTCTCGCATATCAATGGCCCCTGAGCTATCCGGTTCCTTCCATCACGTGGCTGTGTGAGGCACTGAATTCAGACGTCAACTTTAGACGATGTTATATATCACTGAACTCTAACAAAGTATCCAGAGAAAAAGGCTTGTAGGTATGTTGACCCTCTTTCGCACCATACGTACCCAACCGTACCAATCGGTGTGCTTATAAACCTGATTTTACTTCTCAAAGTGTCCTGGTGTCAAAAGGTACCCATTGGGCCTCCTGCGAACAGCGTGAATTGAGGGACGCGTTGCTCGACACAAGAGAGACAGCGAGCGCTGCGCTCATATCAGTCGTGCTCGCAACCGGATTCCACCGTGCGACCGCGAGTTGTGCGCGGTGGAGGCGGCGACCTGGATGTCGTCGCTGGACGGCTGAAAGGGCGCTCGCCGGAAGGTGTCGCTGACATTGCGCAGGATGTCGAGCGAGGCGAGGACGTCTCCGCCGTACAGGACTTGCCCCTGCGACGCCTCGGCCAGCTCGCGGCTCGTCTGGGACAGGCCGTCCGCGAGTGAGGGCGCCCACAGACGCTTGCTGCGGTGGTATCTCAGCTGCGAGGCGGGCGACAAACGGCAGAGGCGTAGCCGCTCAAAAACACGACACAGCGCTCCTTAACAATGCTTCTCTTTCGATGTTCATGACACAAATGTGTATGTATGTTGAACTTCTTTTGCACCGTGTAAGGAAAGGACACCAAATGAAAACAAAAAGCAGCTTTAAAAAAATGAGTTTTCAATCTAATTTGACTCCAGACACTGCCGTAGGTTTTTCTGGCTGGGCTGTGCAGCTCTCCTTTGTGTACCGTATGTTGTTTGCCACGACGTCCGACGTTTTGTTTCCCTGTGCTGGAGGCTTCTTCAGGAAACACACGTGCTACAACCCGTAAGCCCCATGCTCACATGGTCTGAAACATTACTCGTGAGTACCTCACTGTATTCTTAATGTATGGTTACAATCTAACACTCACGTGGTGCACGTTATATTTGTGAGCTGGCTACATTGGGTGTCTAGTTGAATGTGTCCAGGTAGTAAAATCAAGAAGGCGCATTTGTATGAATGTACAAAACTATCTGTTGTGCATCTGTTTCTGTGCGAGCAATAACACGTACATACATGTGTAGGACTTGAAATATGATGCGCCACGCATTCTGTTGTTCTGTTGCTATGCAAGCGAGCAGTGTACAGTGGGGGGTATCTGAGGATGGGGTTGTTGTTGTCGGGCGTGAGGAAGACGTCGTTAAGATGGGCGACAGGTGTTAGGGGTAACCGAGGACGCAGGCCGGTGATTGGTTAGGAGGGTGAGTAGTTAATGACCGGCGCCGCTCTGGCGGGAATAACAAGGTCACGTGAGGCTGGGGGCCTGGGGGCGAGTGGTGAAGCTGGGGGTGAGATTATTGATTGGGGCTGATTGGTGTGGGGATAAAAGGATGGAGTAACGGAGAGACGGGATTGGAGCTGGAGCGGTTGGTGCCAGGGAGAGAGACAGAGTAGCAGTGGATAGAGATAGGATAGAGTACGGTAACAGTGGATAGAGATAGGACAGAGTACGGTAACAGTGGATAGAGATAGAACAGAGTACGGTAGCAGTGGATAGAGAGAACATAGACAGAGTACGGTAGCAGTGGAGAGAGAGAGAACGCAGAGTGCGGTAGCAGTGGTAGCAGTGCATCGGAGGAATACAGAGTAGGGTAGCAGCGGAGTAACGGACCTTGGGAGAGCAGGAGAGCGAATTGAGAGACATAGAGTGTCGTTGATGGCGGATAGTGTAACGGAGCGAACGGGGAGACACGGAGCGGTGATGAGGAGAAGGTGTGAACTCTAAAGTGTGAATAAACGGAACGAGAAAGACAACCGGAGTACGAGACCTACACATGTGTACATATGAGAGTGTGTAATGGTGCCATATACAGTGTAGGTACATGGAGGGTTATTTCCTCACTGATAGCCCTGTCGGTTTATTTTGCTAATAGCACTGTGTAACAACCTTTTTTTTTGTTCCTGGGGAGTAAGTGTTATTTCCTAATTGCTTATGCCTCAAAGTACAAAAAATGATATTATGCCCTACAAACTTTGCTTTTGTGACCAGGACAGTGATATTTAGAAATTTACCTATTTTCCAGAACATTCCAGATAGATTCAGTGCTGAGTAAACTTTGAGTAACATCTAGAACATTCTAGAACTTTCCAGTAATATAAATAGTAGTATACATACAAGGCCTTAAGCCCACCAGTTCAGTTTAGTTCCAGCTGCCTAAGTGGATACATATCTGCATTTTTCTGAGATGGCATCAAGTGGCTGCAAGCATCCAGCAGACACGTTTTGCTACGTCTACAGCCAATTTATAAAGACAAGAGCGAAAAAGTACTCTGTGGAAGCATCTGCTAAGATATGTGAGGCCTACAAGGCATATTTCAGCATGCCTGTCGGGGGTAAAGACAAACCCTGGGCACCTCATTTCACCTGCGAGCAATGCAAAAAACTCTGGAAGGTAGATGGACAATTGTTGCTCGGAATTTTACGTAACACAATTTGTAAAAATTTGTAAAATTGTAAAAGTTGTTAATTTTAAAATGTTTTACAATTTTCAATGTTATTGAAAAAATATATGTCTTTTTGTAGGATGGTACAGACGGGAAATGAGAGCCATGAAGTTCACTATCCCAAGAATTTGGCGGGAACCCCCTAACCACTCAAGCAACTGCTACTTCTGCATGGTGGACCCTTCCAAACGTCGGACTGGCAAGAATGCAACTGCTATCACATATCTGGACCTTCCTTCATCCATCGACCTGGTGCCACACTGCTTTGAGCTCCCTGTACCCACTCTTACAGAGAGAGAGCAGCCATCTTTAGAAGAGAGCAGCAAGTCAGAGAGCGAGGAAGACGTTGTAGATCTGGATGATATTTCAGAGGTGGAGCTGAGGAGAGAAACCTATACTACCCCACCAAAAAAGACCTCAAAGACTTGATCAGAGATCTTGGTGTCACCAAGTCGAATGCCGAGCTTTTGACGTCTAGGTTCAAGCAGTGGAACTTGTTGGTTGAAAGTGTGCAAGTCGCAGATTAGAGGAAGCATCACCAACCTTTTTGCAGTTTCTTCACCCATCAAGATGGGCTCTGCTTCTACTCCATAATGGTAACAAGTACCCATCTCTTCCCCTGGCTCACTCGGTGCACCTCAAAGAGGATTACAACAGCATCAAGACCTTGCTGGATGCCTTGAAGTATGATGAGTACGGCTGGGAGGTCATCGGAGACTTCAAAATGGTGGCATTCCTGATGGGTCTCCAAGGCGGTTTTACCAAGTTTCCCTGCTATATTTGCCTTTGGGACAGCAGGGACACCAAGGCACACTACCACAGACGGGACTGGCCACAGCACACCGAGTTCTCTGTGAGGAGGAATAATGTCAAGTGGGAGCCACTGGTGGACCCCCGGAAGGTGCTAATAGCACCACTGCACATCAAATTAGGCCTTATGGAACAATTTGACAGAGCTGTAGATGAGGAGTCGGCAGGGTTCAAGTACTTTCAAAAATTCTTCCCTTAGCTGTCTGAGGCTAAGGTCAAAGGCGGTGTCTTCCTCGAACCACAGATAAAGAAGATCCTGAAGTGCAATGATTCCCCAAGAAACTCACTAGTAAGGAGAAAGCGGCTTAGAACAGCTTTGTCGCAGTGGTTCATGGCTTCCTGAGCAATCCCAAGGTCGAAAACTATGTGGAGCTGGTTGTGACTCAGGTGAAGAACTACGGCACAATGGGCTGTAGGATGTCCCTCAAAGTCCATATCCTTGATGCTCATCTTGATAAATTCAAGGAGAACATGGGAGCGTACTCGGAGGAGCAAAGTGAGTGCTTCCACCAGGATATATTGGACTTTGAACGCCGCTACCAAGGACAGTATAACGAGAACATGATGGGAGACATTTGGGGACTGATTCGTGAAAAAGATTTACAGTAAAATCATAAATCTCTAAAAACTACTCACTTCTATTTCTTTTGTTGTCGTTTTTGTATTACTTTAGTATAAATACATGTTAATTTTGATTCATATGGTGTTGTTTTCTGACTTTGTGAACGAAAAAACACAAATTCGCCGGTTTTCTCATTGAAAATAGGCAAATTTCAAAATATCACTGTCCTGGTCACAAAAGCAAAGTTTGTGGGGAATAATAGCCATTTTCTATACTTTTTAGGCATTAGCAATGAGGAAATAATACTTACTACTCAGGAACAAAAAATGTGTTACATCGTGTAATTAAAGGCGCAATTCTCCAGTTATTAAAATGTGTAAAATTATTTCACGTTTTTCAAACGTATAGGCAGTATATCGAAAAAACAAAAAAAGGTACGAAATTATCAGAGTAGTAGTTAGGTAAAATTTTTAAACAACCCAAATTTCTATTAATATATCCCAAAGAACAGGGTGGATAGCAGCATCTGCGTTTAGTAGCGACGGCCATCGCTGTGGAACGCGACGGCCTCTTCCCCGCGGCCACCTGTGAGGCCGCTGCACATGGAGCCTCGTGGGCTCCCGAGACTCCACGTGCATTGGTGTCTCACTCGGTGTCTCACTCGGTGTCTCACTCTGAGTGAGACCATGTCTCAATCCATGTCTCACTCGGTGTCTGACTCCGTCTCACTCGGTGTCTCACTCGGTGTCTCACTCGGTGTCTCACTCCGAGTGAGACCGTGTCTCAATCCATGTCTCACTCGGTGTCTGACTCCGTCTCACTCGGTGTCTCACTCGGTGTCTCACTCGGTGTCTCACTCCGAGTGAGACCGTGTCTCAATCCATGTCTCACTCGGTGTCCGACTCCGTCTCACTCGGTGTCTCACTCTGTATCTAACTCGGCCTCTCCCTGTCTGCACCTCTCTCAATGTGGAGCGTCGTGTCCAATTTTACAATAACCGCTCCTCCTCCTTCTATGCCATTCTCTTTACGTAAAACCACCCCCACCCCATCCGTTGCATGTCCAAGTTGTGAAGTGAACCTTATAGCGGTACCCCGGAGTACCATTGTACCACGGCTCTCGCACAATGTCTGTGATGCAGTAATTTTTTGTCTTTTTATGGTCGGCGATGCGGCAATTAGCTCATCTCGACGAGCTGTACACGATGCAATATGGAGCATCCGAGTGTTTGGGGTTTCAGCGCAATCGTCCTCGCTGCGCTTCGACATCGTGGAGTAGCACTGATTTCGGATTGATTGGTACCCCAGTCGCGGAGTGAAGTACACCCCTGGAAAAAATAGTGTCCCAGATATAAAATATTTAATTGCCTCAGCCATTTTGTATTATTTGGTACCCCGGGGTACCGCCATGAGGATCATATGCTGCATAAGCAGGTGTGTGTACGATTGTACAGACAGGACGCAACATTCATTCACATATTGATGCAAATCTGCCTGTGTTTGTGTGTGGGGAGCGGTAGTGTGTTGAGGTAGATGGCTGTCCTATGAACCCAGTGACCCGATCCCACACAGTCAACATCAGTGAACATCTGAACCGGTCATGAGCCTCCCCTACGTCGACTCAGCCTTAACTTAGTATCTGGTATGGTGTGAACAAATCACCATTGGGAAGACAAAGCTGGCCAGGCGTGATGCCAGCCACACCACCCCTCGTGTGCTGCCTGACCCAACCTTCGTAGTGGTCGCTAACAGCGAATGCCCCAACAGTCTGTGTAAGGATATAGGGGGAGTTGGTGGGTCTTTGCTTTTGTCTTGTGTGTGTGGGGGGGGGGGGGGCGTAAGCGTGCCAGTACGAGAAGGTGGTCAAGCATTCGTGCAGCTCGTACCCACCACCCAACGCACAGTCCCTTTGTAGTGTGTGTCTCACGAGGCACACACAAAAGTCTGGAGGCACCACGATTTATTAACAACTGAACAGGGCTACAGGCTAACAATACTCGGGGGTATTCTAGACTCTATGTAAACTGAGTCCCCGACGACCGACGCTCCAAGACCCCCGAAGCAACGCCGCACGGTCAGCTCGTCCCGCCAGACAACCTCGATCCACTCTGCCCCCGTCCCTCTTATCCTCCGAGGGGGCGTGGCCTCGTTCCACTTCCGGCCACGCCCCCTTCTCGGTCTCTCGCGATGGAACCGGAGCCAGCGTCACGTGTCCTCCGTGCCCCGTGTCCGGGCCCCCTTCACTACTCCGTGTCAGCACGTCCCCCCCCCCCCCTCTCTCTCTCTGGGACGGGACCCTGCTCTGTAGGGCCTGCCTCCCCACCACCTCACTTATTTACCAGTTGTGGTTGTAGTCGTCTTATACGCCGTAGAGACGCTATTTACGTCTCTACACCTGTATTACTCTCTTGCTGCAAAGGGGACCTCTTGTGGCAAGAGGCTGACTGCGGCGACAGGATTTCTCGATGGGTGAGACAGGCCCCCTGATTAACAGCTCCTTACTGCCACTGTAGCCTTGCACTGAGGCAAGAGGCACAGGAGTAACACTCATTCACTTCGTGCCAATTTATGTGCCAATTGAAGATGTAGCTTCTCCACTGCGTTTAGATTGCACAATGTAATTGTTTTTAAGGTGCATTCGTCATGAAGCATGCCAGCGCTTTGGAAACAAATAAATCATACCGATTGGAGGACTGTCTGCAGTTCCAGGGAGATGCACTTGGAAAAACTTGGATATTCCCACAACGCAGTTCCATTCTCAGACAGTGAGCATTTCCTCCTCACCACACCTGCAAAATAGTCGAAGCTCACTAAAAAATACAATTATCAACCAATAGTCACAAATAATGTTTGCAGTCAAGTATCATTTAAATTATTAACCTCATTTTAATTTCCATCAAAAATAACTGTACAAAAGCAAATTCGCGCAGTGAGGTGTGGGACATCGCGTGCGGCTACAACGTTTCTTGCAGTCACAACTTTCAACCACCGTTGCCATCTTCGAGATAATTCCACACGAGACTGCCTCTGAAGCAGCCGCCGGTGTGCCCCCATGCTCACCTTACCAGTTTATCTTGGTCGCAAACACCAAATGAGATGAAAGCAAATACAGTGTGTGACAATATATAATATTATATAATAATATATATTTTACACTGATTCAAGCATACCTAAAAAATAATTGTCACACACATGTTGCCGATCGCTGGACTGGTTATAGTCTTTGGAGCAGTTTTACCGGATCAACCCGGGACCACCGGATAATGTTGGAAGACAGATACAGATAATCGCGAGCTGGATCAACTGATCCTGTTGGCGGTACCCCAGGGCACCAAATAATCCAAATTGGCCAAGGCAATTAAATATTTTATTTCTGGGACACAAATGTTTCCAGGGGATTATGTATGTGTCGGTTGTCCTGTTATGATGCTAGTTTATGATTCTGTACGTGTCGGTTGTCCTGTTATAATGCTCGTTTATGAGTCTGTATGTGTCGTTTGTCTTGTTATGATGCTAGTTTATATTCTGTACGTGTCGTTTGTCTTGTTATGATGCTAGCTTATAATTCAGTACGTGCCGGATGCCTATTTATTCCTGGAAGGTAAATAACAAAAAAAGGAGACTTGATTTGCGCACTTCATGATATACCTTGGAAATTTCAGGTTCAAACAAACAGCCGTTCCCAACACATAAGAAATTAAAAAAGGGTTGTATATTTATGTTTTGAATTCGTTCATAGAAAACACAAATTTACATTTTAAAATCGGTGTAGGCACAGGAGCAGCCCTGCAAGTGCTTGTTGACGCCACCGCTGGTGGAAAGAACTCCACTGGAGGGAGCTCTCTGGAGCCATCTTGAAGGGCATTTGGCCTACTCTTCCAAACTGGTCAGATACCCTTGGAAGATGTGGGAGAACCCATGCTCTCCCTCACCACACTTGACCTGCTGATCGACTTAACTCTGGTGTACGTACTCATTTCAACTGCTGGGTGGACAGAGTTGCGAGGGATTTAAGAAACTTATGCTAAACGGTGTGTAGAACACTCCAGATCACGCGGACTTTATGGTTCCAGTGGTGTGTGTACCTGTGTCATCTGGTGTTCATGGTGCCAGTGGTGTGTGTACCTGTGTCATCTGGTGTTCATGGTGCCAGTGGTGTGTGTACCTGTGTCATCTGGTGTTCATGGTGCCAGTGGTGTGTGTACCTGTGTCATCTGGTGTTCATGGTGCCAGTGGTGTGTGTACTTGTGCCATCTGGTGTTCATGGTGCCAGTGGTGTGTGTACCTGTGTCATCTGGTGTTCATGGTGCCAGTGGTGTGTATACCTGTGTCATCTGGTGTTCCTGGTGCCAGTGGGGTGTGTACCTGTGTCATCTGGTGTTCATGGTGTCCGTGGTGTGTGTACCTGTGTCATCTGGTGTTCATGGTGCCAGTGGTGTGTGTACCTGTGTCATCTGGTGTTCATGGTGCCAGTGGTGTGTGTACCTGTGTCATCTGGTGTTCCTGGTGCCAGTGGGGTGTGTACCTGTGTCATCTGGTGTTCATGGTGTCCGTGGTGTGTGTACCTGTGTCATCTGGTGTTCATGGTGTCAGTGGGGTGTGTACCTGTGGCATCTGGTGTTCATGGTGTCAGTGGTGTGTGTACCTGTGTCATCTGGTGTTCATGGTGCCAGTGGTGTGTGTACCTGTGTCATCTGGTGTTCATGGTACCAGTGGGGTGTGTACCTGTGTCATCTGGTGTTCATGGTGCCAGTGGTGTGTGTACCTGTGTCATCTGGTGTTCATGGTGCCAGTGGTGTGTGTACCTGTGTCATCTGGTGTTCATGGTGCCAGTGGTGTGTGTACCTGTGTCATCTGGTATTCATGGTTCCAGTGGTGTGTGTACCTGTGTCATCTGGTGTTCATGGTGCCAGTGGTGTGTGTACCTGTGTCATCTGGTGTTCATGGTGCCAGTGGTGTGTGTACCTGTGTCATCTGGTGTTCATGGTGCCAGTGGTGTGTGTACCTGTGTCATCTGGTGTTCATGGTGCCAGTGGTGTGTGTACCTGTGTCATCTGGTGTTCATGGTGCCAGTGGTGTGTGTACCTGTGTCATCTGGTGTTCATGGTGCCAGTGGTGTGTGTACCTGTGGCATCTGGTGTTCATGGTGCCAGTGGTGTGTGTACCTGTGTCATCTGGTGTTCATGGTGCCAGTGGTGTGTGTACTTGTGGCATCTGGTGTTCATGGTGCCAGTGGTGTGTGCACCTGTGTCATCTGGTGTTCATGGTGCCAGTGGTGTGTGTACCTGTGTCATCTGGTGTTCATGGTGCCAGTGGTGTGTGTACCTGTGTCATCTGGTGTTCATGGTGCCAGTGGTGTGTGTACCTGTGGCATCTGGTGGACATCGGCTCACTGCTACACTCTGGGCTTCAGTCTCCTTCCACAAGATGGAAGCGCTCACCTCTTCGGCACACATCTCATAGGGCTCTGCATACATTGCCAAACAGAAGACAAAATGTATTTACTAACCTCGTTATATGCGGCAAATACCGTTATTCATAAATCGGGGTTATAATTAGACTTCCATGATTTAGAACCCAGCATGTGCAATCGACTGTTTTTTTTATTTAGCTATGGTTGATGCCCACAATAAGTGATCATTTAAGGGCTGAATCACGACAGTAAGGACACCAACCAAGTAACTAGTGAGGGTGCGTGGCTTCCATATGAATGACCCTGATCACATAGGACTCCATCAGGCCCCAACGTGATTCCAAGCTGATCTGATGCGAACCACCAATAAAATCAAATTCTCATTCATCGGATTCATAATGCATTCTAATTATTACGCAACATGGTGTTACGTAAATACGAGAGAATTGATTCCACCTTGTTATTTAATGTGAACCTATGTCTATTACGTGACCAACAGTTTTTTTTGCTGTCAAATTATTTGGCGATGGAGCTCCTGCTGCTGCTTCATTGGCAGTGGTGCACGAGCACAATTACAAAAAACTCAACACATTAACAAGCAATAACACTGTGGCTTTAAAATAAAAAAATATACATAAAATAGGTGACCTTTTCAGACAATGGCCCTTCTGCATAGCTCTGCATAGAATTGAGTTTAAATATGAGGTGGCCTTCTGTCCTTTTTCTAGTCTCATTCCCACCAGCGATCTAGACAAGGCCATGCACCGACACGTCATCAGGGCTACGGTCTACACTGTTGGGAGTGATGAGCCACTGGTGTGGACCCTGTCTGCACGGAGAGCAGGCATAAGAGCTTTCGCGAAACCAACACTGAGGCGTTGACCAGTTTCTCCTATGCAGTGGGAGGCCACAAAGTAAGATAACTTAGTCATAATATTGTTTGAGTATCGATGAGTTTGTCACCAAATAGCTACTATTAAATAACTAATCATATGCCCCCCAAAAAAAACGGGCATCAGAAATCACCATGCCTCATGGAGTGAAATGTAGTCTCCTACTCTTTTTGTCCACTGGCCTCTCTATTTAATGAAAAACATGCCATTGCCAGAAAAAAATAGCGTATTCTATATTTTTATTTTGAAGCCACAATATTAATTAACATTATGTGCAGTTCTTTTGTTTCCCAGCACACAAAGTAAGTGAACAATAACAGCAGCAGCCCCACAGTTAAGGCACCCTCATATATCGGGTTTAAATGTTTTGGGAAATGAAGTAGCAAATACAAATTACAATTCTCTCCAACCAGGAATTATCCTGCCGACTTTCATAACTCAATGTGGGACAATGAATGTGGCCGTCCCTGCGTGCCACTGGACGATTCATCATCTGAATAGTTCCTGATACATTTGCAGCTTTAGTGTGCAATGCACGTATATTTTTCAACAGTTAAAAATATAATTACCCATTTCGAGTTATTAATTAATTTGAAACGCCTTCTAAATAAATCGGCTGAGTATAGAACACATGGTGATTAGTCAAACAAGTTGTGAGGCGGTCCTAATTGGGTCACATTGTCGACCCTTTGCTGGGTCAATCTTATCATCCAAACAGTTACATAAAAAAGTGGTTTGCATAATATTCAGAACCAAAATAACTTATCATGTCAAAGTGTACTCCCACTCCCTTGCATAAATTATCTTAAGTATAGGCAGGATTAACGTTCCGATTTAAAGCTTTCGTGACTGCATGGATTAATAAAATAATAATAAACATAATCTTATTATGTATTTTATTATTTAATTATTTCCCTTCTACATGACTTTACCGAAAGAACAAATAATATGAATAGGATTGACGTTTATTAATTATCGGTGTTATTTATCTGTAATTTAAATTTACAATAAAACAACAGCACTAGCAGAATATGTAAATCGGTAAACCAAAAAGAGCGTACATTTTTACACTTCAACAACAATTTAAACTTGCAAAAATAATATAAAATTATCATATATATTTTTTCAAACAATAAAATTAAGATTCATGTGTCCGCTATTTAACCATCTAAGTAAATGCAAAATATATCAAGATGCATTTCCCTTTAAATTAGAATACTAAAATTAATAATTAACAAGCACTGATAGAAAGCAATTTGTTCGATGTTTACGTTTTTTTAATTAAAGTGTCCCGTGAAGTAATGCAGTTGCTGCGTGCAATTTTAATATTTCCTTTAAATCAACGCTTGCTCTTAATTGCCTCGAGGTATCTGGCTTCCCCCATTACCCCCAACCTGGCAGCACTGCGGCGTCTCCCGTCTCACACGGAACAACAACAACAACAACAAACCGACGCAGAAACAGGTGAATAAGTCCCCCCCCCCTCCCGAATAACTCCCACGGATTTGATTATTACGGTGTAAATAAAAAAGTGATAGAGCCAACGGCATCCCGTCTACACAGAAATTGCATCAATGCCCCTTCATATAATGTTGCAAAAACAGATGCATGTTTGTGCCTCTTGTAAATGAGGCCGTGAGGCTTCTACGTTTTTGATAAAAAAAAAAAACGCTCGCAAAAAAAAAACGTGAACCAGGCCCAACGGGAATTAAGATGAGGTGAGGTGCTCTCTTAAACCTTGGTTTGGTCAGTGGTATCATGGAGCTAGGGCACTGATTACATGGTCCTAAATCATGCGGTTGCAGCGGTGAACAGCAAATTCTCAAGCAAACTTGCTGCAACTCCGACAACCCTGCCTTTGGAATTCACACCGGTCATGAATGGCTTCTGTCTGTCCAGTAGTTATTGGTTGATCAGGCCATATAGCTTGATCAACAGTATCTGTGCAGTTGACACTAATAAAAAAATAAGCACGTTTCAAACGCTGACACTGAAACACATTCATCCCAGCTAAAGGTAAAGGTGCAGCCCTTCATTGCCTTCCTCACACGACCTGCTGCCAGAAAGGCCTCCCACTCCAGGGATCTTGAGAGAGGGCCCCGCTCTCTGGGGTATTCGGCCTACTCTTCCACCACTGGTCAGACATCTTGTAGGAGATAGGAGTGTATCCACATTTGCCCAACACACACGACCGACTAACTGTGTATCTCTCTCTCATCATCATCACGGTGGCTAGGAGATGTTAACTACCTCGTCTGGTATGCAGAAGATCGTGGGTTCGAATCCCGACCCCTGGCACCTGCTGCTGTATATTTGGAGTTTGCGTCTCTCTCTCTCCCTGTGGTCACGTGGATTTTTCTCCAGGTCCAGTTTTTCCCTCCACATTTAGAATCAATGTGGCGTTCGAAGTATTTGGCCGCTATACATTCCACATGTACGTACATACAAGCACGTTTAATTCCTCGCGCACCATCCAGTGAGGCCAACCGTGACAATCACTGGCCTCATCATTTGCTGTGGGAAGGTCGCTTCTGGAGAAAACCCAAAAAACCCCGGCTATGTAGCAATAATAATTGTGACAAAAAGTGTTCCGTTACTTTGAGAGCGTGAGCACACCTGGACATCTCGGGTTGGTGCAGTTGGCAGGCTCCTTGTCGCCGCCCTGGCACAGGCGGCCGCCGTGGAAGGGGCCCCAGCACTTGCGCTGTCGCCACCGCAGGCCACCGTCGCAGGTGGCGGAGCACTCCCCCCAAGCCGCCCACACGCCCCAGCGGCCGTCCACTGTCGCCAGCAGCAGGAGCAGTCGTGGCGGCAGCGGCAACGACGGCAACAACAGAAGCAACAGTGGCAACAGCGGCAGCAGCGGCAACAGTAGCATCAGTAGCAACAACAGCATCAGTAGCAGCAGCAGTTGCAAGAGGAGCATCAGTAGCAACAACAGTGACTAAAGAGGAGCATCAGTAGCAACAACAGCATCAGTAGCAGCAGCAGTGGCAACAGGAGCATCAGTAGCAACAACAGCATCAGTAGCAGCAGCAGTGGCAACAGCAGCATCAGTAGCAACAACAGCATCAGTAGCAACAACAGCAGCAACAGGAGCATCAGTAGCAACAACAGCATCAGTAGCTACAGCAGTGGCGAGAGGAGCATCAGTAGCAACAACAGCATCAGTAGCAGCAGCAGTGGCAAGAGGAGCATCAGTAGCAACAACAGCATCAGTAGCAACAGCAGTGGCAACAGGAGCATCAGTAGCAACAACAGCATCAGTAGCAGCAGCAGTGGCAAGAGGAGCATCAGTAGCAACAACAGCATCAGTAGCAGCAGCAGTGGTAACAGGAGCATCAGTAGCAACAACAGCAGCAACAGAAGCAGCAGACACGTTTCTCAAAGAGTTAAACGAGCGCCGTTAGTGTTGAACATCACTTTCATTTTGTGGGAATCTATCAAACGTATGTTACCTCATATATATTTCAATATTTATATCGTGAGCAATTTGGATACAAAACATCTGCTATGTACAGATCCAAGATTGCAGACTGGAGTAACGCGTTGGAAGTTGCGCGGGATGCGCGCGCGATGCGTGCAATCCAAACGTGTTCGCGATCGAGGCGTCTGAGCCTCGTCTCGAGCACCAGGCGTGGGATTGGATGTCGCGATGTTTACGGACGGCAAAAAACAGTGAGGCCCAAGAGATTGGGAATCATTCTGGTGAAAAACCACAAAAGGTGTGATGCATTCCCAGTCCCCTTGGGAACAAGAGACAGCGCCGCATTTGAAAGACAACCATCGATGCAAGCGGTGCACGGAATCATCAATGTTTAATCCGCTGTCTCAAAGCTACACGGATATTTAATGTAACGCGCTGCGGCAGACCTCATCGCCGCATTACCACCCCTCGCTCCAAAATTGCCAATCGTAAAATTCAGCTCTTAGCTGGTTATAAATAAATGGCCGCTACCAATTACCAGCTGCAATGTTTACCATTGCATAACGGTCCGGCTTAGTTAAAACAAGGGGCTTTAACATTAACCAAAAACTGTCATTGCAACCTTTTAACCGCGACATACTGTTTGCCTGCTGCTCATATTTACTCTCGTTTATATATTCTGAAAGGACTGCGACAAATTATCAGTATAACGGTGTCTGTATTAAGATCAAAGCAGAGTAATTGAGAAAGCAGAAGACTCACACTAATGAACCATGCCTTTGGGTCAATACTTCGTTGCATATCTGCAATGCTGACATTTACGCTTTTTCTGTACATCAATGCTGAAGACACACAGCTTCCAATAATTAGATCTGCTTAGTTTATGTTCTGGGGGGGGGATATTGTGGGGTTTTTGGATTTGCACACCCTTTGCCTCGATATTTTTTTTTTCTTCCATGCTAAAAATACGACCACGCCAATGTTCACTTTTAAACGATGAAAACGCTTGCGAAGATGCAAGCAGTGTTACAAAAATGTCTTATTTCCATGCAAGAAAATTGTGCACGTAACAATATAAATTCTAACATCGTTTCCACCTCTTCTGTCTTCCCGCAGATTTAGAAATGTTCCAACATTCAAGTCAGAGTTATTTTTTTCTCCAAACGCGCATTGAGGCACTAATCATTCCCAGTTGATAGCCTTGAGCCAGTGGTGGAAATTCCTCATTCATCTGGCGGGGGCGAGTTTTATCTGTAAAAACAGCCAATCTTGGCTTCCCCTCAAACGAGTACAGTATTTATTATTATTGACCCTGGAGGGGATGATGGGCCGAGCCAACCTCCAGAAAGGAATACAAACTCTGGCGACTTTCTGATTGCGGGCTGCTCGAGTAAAGGGCACTGCCCTTCACGGAGTGGGCATGAGGTGGTGCTTGGTGGGTGAAGGCGCACCTGGGCAGAGGTTGTTGTCGCACCGCCTGTTCTCGGTCCCGGCACCCACGCACTCCGTGCCTCCGTAGATGGGCCCCACGCACTCGCGGCTCCTCTGCTGCGTGCCGTTCTCGCACGTCACGGAGCAGGCGCTCCACTTGGACCAGTCTGCCCACTGCCCATCTACTGTGGCACCACACGGCATCGCGGTCGGGGTCGCGCGCACACGCCAGGAACGCCGCCGTGGTACTCCAGTCTAGGCTGTGCGTGCGTGCTGACGTTGAATGCCTTTCACACCTCTGATTGGTTGGCTGCGTATGGGGTGGAAGAAGTTCAACGTGCACTTGTACTGAGGGGAGCTTTTTGGCAGAATCAACAATGACGAAGAAAGAGGTTTTACTCTCGCTGGCAATAAAACGGGAGGTGTTAAGATGTTCAAACACCAAATAGATATATTTTGCAAGGCATCAAGTCTGCATTAAGCACACACTTGTGGCAAACATGTAAACAAACACTCTGGTAATGCATGCATTGTCTTTTGCCACAAGTATGTACGTTCATGCAGACTTAATGCCTTGCAAAAGAGATGTATTTGGTGTTTAAACATCTAAACTCCTGTTTAATTTCTAGAAAGGGTAAAACCTATTCTTATTCTTTTTCATCATAGACACATGCGCACAGCCATGCGCCCCCATTTTTGCACAGAACACGGCGGGGTCGTGTATTGTTCAAGGGAAAACTTTGTAATGCTTTCACTTAACTTTTTATTAGCAGTGAGGAACGCTGTTGTTCAATTTATATTGGTTGGAAAATGGTGACCAGGGAGGAAACACGTGACGTAATTAATTAGGAAAGGCCTAACAACTAAAGTTCATGGTACATGAACATGAACACTCTGAGGCACATTATTCAAACAAATAATAAAATGGAGAATTGTGCAATGTTACTTTTACATTTTACAGCATAATCATAAGCACTCCGTTGCGTGCCTGCACATCTTGTGGGATAGAGTGATGTTCTCTGTCATTGATAAGAAAAATACATTTTATCTCGCCTACAGAGATAGCGTATGTCCGACCGAGTCAAAAAAAAGATACATGTGGAAAAAAAACACAATTTTGGCTCCCACCCGCATAATCCTTTAAAAATTTGTATTTGGCTGGCTTCGGCACGCGCTGGCTCAATGACCTGCCCGGCATGTCACGGGGAGGACAAACTGATTTTATTTGCATTCTCTGAAGAATATCCGCGAGCAACAATATGCGAGTACCTATAAATGAGCATCAGTTGAACAATCATTTTTAATTAGTGGGCAAATGTGATTCAGTTGACGCTGAAGATTCGCAAAAATACCACTGTCCTGTGACTGGATAAAACGGCGTTGCGGTTCTCAGAGAGCCTTTGTCGGCGGTAACTTCCTGCCCGTCCCCGTGCTTGTAGCCTCGCCGTTCCACAACAACCAAACAATCCCCAAAAGCCGACCGCTACCAAAACCTACCCCGCCAATTTCCAGGGCTAATGCGCCTAAGCACATGTGCGCTTTGGGGCACAATTACACTTAACAGTTATTTTAAATAACTCATAAAAAAAACACTCAATGCTTGGGAAAATGCCTAATGGGCTATGAAATATAACTGCCACGCATATGTATCCGACGAAATGTTAACACACTGACGCGCGTGCAACACGGGTTATGGGCCATGCACTTGGAGAAGTGCTCACTGGAGGAGAACAGCGGAGGCCCTGGGACTGAGCCGCGCTCCGGGAGCTCGCCTCCGTGGAGCGTGGCCCTACAGCGCGTACGCAACCGTTTCATAGCCGTTTCAGCTGTAAACCGCAACACGCACACACAAGGACCGCTGAATGCCAAACTGCACTCTCAAAGCGACTGTAAAAAGTACATATGTTGGCAACAGAGAGGAAGAGATAAAGCCATTAAGAGAAAATTGCAAAGACCTTGCTTGTCAGATACATCATGTTAAAATACACTTTAATCAAACCTGCCCTGGTAATAAAATAAATATATTGAGCTTCATCTCACAACCCCTGTGTTTTGCACACGGTGCACATGACTAGATTTTCTATTCCGACAGACACAATAACTTTATACATGATTGCCGCTTCTAACCAATAGCATTAACTTTGTTTTATGAAAGCTCACCTGAAGGCTCAGTCCCTGACCCAGCGTTGGCCGCCAAATGACTATAATGCCCAAAACAAAGATTGTCAGGAGCAAACCTGCATCATCCACTTATGTCAAGAGCCCGAGTAACGATTCTCCATAAACTGTTGTGCAGCTGACTTGATAAAAAAACACAGCTTCGTACAAAATATATAGAAGTGGTAAAATCCTAAGCTATTCATTTAAACAAAAAGACAAAGATCTCCCGTATAGCCTTAACAGACTGTCGTGGCAAGCGCTGTTAGCGAGCACCTATGAAGGCCGGCACGGCACAAGCAGGGGGGGGGGGGGGGTGTTGGCCAACACCACGCCCGGCCCCCTTTGCCTCCCCAGTGGCGATGTTTACACACCGCCACCAGGTACTCATTTGAGGCTGAGTCGACCTAGGGAAGGCCCAGTCCCGGTTCAGACTATCGCCACTGATGTTGGCCGTGAGCGGGAATGGAACTTGGGTCACACACACACACGCGCGTACATCCGGCACGTTAGTGCAATCTTCCGTGGCTCCCACACACCGCCTCTCCTTGATCCTCGCTTGTGTGGTCCATTTCCTCACGTTCACTCAGGCAGAGCGGAAGGGGGGGCTCTCAATTCTACCCACAACAACCACCGTTTGGCAGTCTCTGATCGCGGCGATCTGCGGAGCGGTGGAAAACGTTGGAAGGTTCTCCCTCCCATTCGCCTCATCCTCCCTCCGCCTCCAAAAAAAGAAGCAGCTCTGTCATTGCAAATTCCACCCCCCGCCTGACCTACAACGTGGTTGTCGTCGGAGAATGATTCTCGCAGACGCGGAAACGGGGGGGGGGGGGGGGGAGTATTTTCTGAAGCATTCCCACCTTCCAGATAAAAGGGGAAAAACGTACTCTCAATTCCCACCTTTACTGTTTTTAAGGCAGTACTTATGGTCGTGGTAACGAGCATTCTTATTTGTTTGTTGTTGGGGGCTATCTGATCATTATTCTTGGTGCCCCGAGAGAAAATATTCCATTAACCATGAGCGCGTGAATAAAATTTATCTAAATTAACGTAACTTTTAAACAGCCTGCATATTATCCGTTCAACTGGCTATAAATTATGAAAACATTCCGAGTGCTGCGTAAGCATATATTTGAAGTGCAAATCTATTTTGAACAATATTTATATATACCAAAACTTTTAGATTGTATTCTCCTTTGTTTATCCGATAACATTAACGTAGCTGTGTGAGTGCAGCTACATGCAGATGCACAGATGCCTGCAAGTTGATAAAACACAAAAAATATACTATATTAAATAAACAAACAGTGCAATAGGTGAAGACGCTGCCCTACAATTGTTGGCCCTCACCACTGGTGGCAAAAAAGGCCTTAACGAGAGGGGACTCTAGAGAGCCCCGATATAGGGTAATTGGCCTACTCTTCTATGCTGGCCAGAGGTTTTGGACTGTGATGATACCCATTTTTACGGCTTGGAAGACAGAGGCTGTGGGGGGGATTTGAGAAACTTGCCCCATTGTTTCAACTGCTGCCCCAGGAGATGGGATCAAACCCACGCGTCCGATTAGCACGGTTGGCTACGTATGGTGTGAAATAAGTTCAACATACATACACACACACACTCTGGATTGGAAGTCCAATGTGCTGATGGTTCCACCATGGCACGTGTACTCTATTCAGAAACATATATAATGTCATGACCCTTGAGTTAAATAGATAGTGATAGAAATGTATATTTGGTGGGGTAAAGTGTGGGTATTCCTACCTCTTCCAAGACTTCTGGCCAGTGGAAAAAAAAAACTATGGCAGAATACTCTCTAGCTGGGCTCTCGAGAGCTCCCTCTAACAATGGAGGCCTTGCCGGCAGTGGCGTCAGCCAGACATTGCAGGGCTGCAACTTCACCTCGACCACCTTTTATAGGCAATAACCACCTCCCCGGTTATGTAGGAGCGGTCTGGGTTTGATCCCGACCTTGTCAACGCCTGTATATTTGGAGTTTGCATGTTTTCTTTCCCCGTGGTCTCGTGGATTTGTATCCTCCGGTTTTCCCTCCACATTTAGAATCGATGTGCGTTTAGAGTATGTATGTTGAAATTTGTTAGCACTGTACGTAGCCAACCGTACTAATTGGAGGTGCAGGGAAACGACAACAAACCAAATGCAAAAACAATTTTTAAGAAATGAGTTTTCAATCGAGATGATAAAAAAAATTGCGCAGCTCCAGGGGCTTCCTAATCGAGATGGCCACAGAAGCGCATCCCAAAGTGTGCAATGCAGTGATCGTCATTGTTCGATGGCTGCTATAAATTTCCACGTGATAACCCACTTCGTTGAGCTATTGTTTGTGGTCAAGTTGCTTCTGAAAAAAAGGCTATATAGCTCAGTGGGCCTTACCAGGTAAAATAAAAATAGGTTAGCGACCCCACCACCAGACTCTCCAGATTATATCTTCCGCAGAAATGATGAGCAGTGCTTAACCGGATCCACACAATCCACCGAAGATGTGGATACGTAAATGCATAAGTGGAAAAATAAGACTCTCACTGTGTGCGTCTGCTGCTACAAACTCCAACCCATGGACCATGTGACTTCGCACTGCCCCAAATATACACGTGAATGGGTGCATCTGCAATTATCTACTCCCAGACAACGTGGTTGATTGGCTTAGTCACTTAGACCTGAATCTCTGACAGTTGCTTTTTATGGGCCATTCAAAATAAGAAGACCATAACTTAGGCAGACTGATTCATAACAAATATTTGGGTTAGGCCACATCATGTTCTGGCCTGTTTCATTATTAAGAACCTCCACCACCCGACACAGCCAAACAAATTGAATTGTCAAGCGTACAAGAGTTTAACGCACCAATTATTGTTTCAGCTTACCGGAAAGTTGAAGAACTATTCTCGCAACCAAACTTAGCCGTAAGACACAACGTTGATTTTGAAACTATGTCAAATGCGATCAGAACGAGATCCGGAAATTCAGAATTTAAATCTAGGATGTCAGAATAAACGTGTCACCTAACCCGGCTTCTTAAATAGGTGTCATTACATCTCAGGATTAACCAATCAAATTTAAATTAGATATTAACCATTTCCAATTAATTTTTACTAATAGAACTGTCAAATAACCCATGCTTCAAGTTTTCTGGCTGGCTGGGCTCTTCTAACTTCCAATTCGTGGCTGCTGCACACTGTTGCCATTGAATTTAGCTGGGTAACTGGTTAAAGGAGATTTTCCGTGTAACAAATGAATATTCAATTGAATTGAAACGGTGGAAGAGGTTTGGAGGACAAAGAATCGACAGCAACACCGAAGGGGTGAGAGAAACGGATACACAAGACCAACAAGGTTCACTTAAAATCGTTCTAACTTTCGATGTGTGCTCCTATTAAATACTCCCTTCGGCAGAATACTATTTACATCTGACAAAGAATATAAAATAACCTAAAAATACAAAGCATAATGGCATGTTATTCCTTTTAGTGCTCCAAGCACGGGAGGTTTGTGGGAAGAGCGCACGTAAGGCAATGACAACCGTCTCCTATTTTCAGTGGCGGAGAAATGGCTTCTGGACTAATCTGATTTTTATTTCATGGCGGACTCACGATGCAAAACGCTGAGACATGTGGGGTGCTCACCAGGGCAGAGGGCGATGTTGCAAACCTTGGTCTGGTTGTAGGGCCCCTCGCAGGAGCTCCCCCCGTGCTGGGGGACGGAGCAGTGGCGCATGCGAGTGCGCAGGCCCCGGCCACACGTGTAGGAGCAGAGGGACCACGGGGACCACTCCCCCCACACTCCGTGCACTGCCACACACGAAACCCACCCACGAGGACCACTCACACACATTCTGTGTACTGCGCTACACGCACACAGGGCCCACTCATACACATTCTGTGTACAGCCACACGCGCACACACAGGGGCCACTCACACACATGTCGTGTACTGCGATACACGCACACAGGAACCAGTCTCACATTCTGTGTACTGCGATACACACACACAGGGCCCACTCAGCCACACACTCCGTGAACTGACACACACACACAGGGCCCACTCACCCACACACCCCGTGAACTGATACACACACACAGGGCCCACTCACCCACACACTCCGTGAACTGACACACACACACAGAGACCACTCAGCCACACACTCCGTGAACTGACACACACACACAGGGCCCACTCACCCACACACTCCGTGAATTGACACACACACACAGAGACCACTCACCCACACACTCCGTGAACTGACACACACACACAGAGACCACTCACCCACACACTCAGTGAACTGACACACACACAGGGCCCACTCACCCACACACTCCGTGAACTGACACACACACACAGAGACCACTCACTCACACACTCCGTGAACTGACACACACACACAGGGCCCACTCACCCACACACCCCGTGAACTGACACACACACACAGGGCCCACTCACCCACACACTCCGTGAACTGTCACACACACACAGGACCCACTCACCCACACACTCCGTGAACTGACACACACACACAAAGACCACTCACCCACACACTCCGTGAACTGACACACACACAGGGCCCACTCACCCACACACCCCGTGAACTGACACACACACACAGGACCCACTCACCCACACACTCCGTGAACTGACACACACACACAGGGCCCACTCACCCACACACTCCCTGAACTGACACACACACAGGGCCCACTCACCCACTCACCCCGTGAACTGACACACACACACACACAGGACCCACTCACCCACACACTCCGTGAACTGACACACACACACAGGGCCCACTCACCCACACACTCCGTGAACTGCCATACTCAGGGTCAACCTCCATCAGCACATTTCACTGCAGACAAATAATCCGAATGCTATATGAATGGTAGTGCACTCAGACCCCAGAGATATCACTATCCGCCACAGCCATCAGTTATATTTGGAGCAAAGTAAGATTAAGTTGGGAATGATTCACGGGACTATATTTTAGTTAACAAAAACAGAACCACAATTACATGTTGAAAATATATGTATATTCACCTCCGACGGGAGAAATGTTTTTTCCACTGGTAATTATTCAGCTTAATTGACTTGTAAAACATTTTATTTGTTGGAAAATGCTAATTAAGTTTTACAATGAGCACTCACCATGTTATCATACCGAATCATTAATCTTTATTTAGATTGCAGGAGGGGGAATCCGATGAGCTATAAAGCTCTCTTAACACAGATGTCCAGTAGGGGCGGGTCAGCAACAAACAATAAAAAACAAACGATAGTGCAAAATAGACGAATGGTAAACAAATCACTAAATATAAATAAATACATTTGTGAAATAAGTACAAGTTGTCAAGATTGGGCAAAGGCAGCAAAAACAACAACAGTCCCAGACCGCACCAACATAGCGACACAGCAGTCGCTCAATAGAATGGGCACATTAAACCATTGAGCAATGAACGAGAACGCCGGCGATGATCACGGTCCGCGTGTCCCGCTGAGTGCGCGCGGCTCACCGGGACACACGGAGGAGCTGTCGCAGACGCGGATCTCGCGGAGCGGCCCGGAGCACGCGGCCGACTTGGACGATGCGAGGCAGACACGGGCTCGCACCTGGGAGCCCTCGCCGCACGACGAGGAGCACACGCTCCACTCGGACCACTCCTCTCCTGCGCCCGCGACACCTGCGCCCGCAACACCTGCGCCGAGACAAAGGCAACGACCCCCCCCCCCCCCCCCCCCGTGTAGGCTTAACAGACTGTCGGGGCGAGTGCTGTTAGCGAGTAGCACCTATGAAGGCCGGCACGGCACACGAGGTGGTTGGTGGCCAGCACCACGCCCGGCTGCCCTTGTCTTCCAAGTGGTCATGTTTAAACACCACACCAGGTACTCATTTGAGGCTGAGTCGACCTAGGGGAGCCCCATGACCGGTTCAGATTATTATCATCACTGGCGTTGGCCATGAGCGGAAATCGAACTCGAGGTAGCCGGGTTCGCTACAGCAGCGCTCCCCACCACTTGCACCACACGCAGCGCCATATGAGATTAATCACCTGATCCTGTGCAAGCTTGGGTATCTATATTGTATGTATTTATGCATGTTGAACTTCTTTCGCGCCGTACGTAGCCAACCGTGCTATAAGAAGCCACTAGAGCTATGCACTTTTAAATCGCCTACATTAAAAACGAACTTCTTTAGAACGGCCTTCTGTGTTTAGTTTGTCGTGCTTCCCCACTCCTCAGATTAGCACGGTTGGCTACGTACGGCGCGAAAGAAGTTCAACATACACACGTACATAGAGGACTCCCGTGCGTGCTTGAGGGCACGGACGTTCGCACGCCCTGACACGGAAACTTTGCCGAGTGTATCGCTCAAAAGGGATTCTTCTGCCGTGGCTTGCAACAGAGAGTTCGCTGGTTCGATCTCCTGGTGCGGCAGTCGAAATCACATCTTACGTAAATTATATCTTACATCCCCCCCCCCCACCACAGCTGTCCACTAGGCAATACTGTATACAATGGGCACACCATAGTTAGTTGATTAGCAGGACATGTGTGGTGGGGTAAAGTGTGAGTACTCCTACCACCGGCGTGGAAGAGTAGGCTAAATACCCTTTAGAGCTGCCTCTAGTGGAGGCCCTGCTGCCAGCAGTCGTGTGAGGAATACGTTTCAGGGCTGCACCTTCACCGACATCACTAACACCGTTTCTTTACCTCAAATACCAAGACCGTAGCCATGGAGTCAACATTGGGGGGCACCAAATCTTCCAGGGGGTCTGGGCCCCCCCCCCCAGAAAGAAAAAAAAATCTAAATTTGAAAACGAATTTCCCGCCTCAAATAAAAAACAATTCACTAACACATAGGATGGATTCATTGTATGTAATGGCAGAGATTATGGATTCATAAAGTACAACCATAACCACAATCATACAAACAGAAATCTATTTTATAGCAATATATTGGGGGGGACATTTTGAGCATATTTTAATATATTACGGCCTTGTTTGGGTGGATTTAAATAAAATAAAATAGTAATATTTTAGTCTTGTTTTTAACATCACATTTATGTTACTTGTTGTTTTTTTGTCTCCCTCGTTTGTATAGTTTTGTTCACTCCATTAGCCTCAAGGTAGGATTTATACAAACTCCATGCGATAATGCAGTTATCATGAACCTAAGTACCATAATAATCGATGCATCAACACCCCATTACGTCCCTATATAAGTAATACCCTGTTATAACCGCTCATACCTGTCAATAATAATCTATTATCCGCTTATGAAAGCTGAATTTTAAAAAAAACAACGTGCAAATAAGGATGGGTATACTTCAGAATTGATGAACGAATGAGAGCGTTGCAAAAACGTCAGACAGCTGAGCTCCGGTTTCTTTCCCGTATTAAACTCGAGCGAGCGTGCCAGGGGGGGGGGGGGGAGGGGGCCAAGATCGTCGCGTGACATTTCTAGACGCGTTGGGCACATGAGGGTCGGCCGGCACCAACGACGCTTGCTGCGGCTGAGGCGCCGCGTATCCCCTGGCAGCCATCGTCTTGACGACGATCATTGGGAAATATGGGACATATTATTTCTATTTGGTGTTTGGACATCTAAGCCCCTGTTTTATTGCAGGGAAGGGTACGATCTGTTCTGATTCGATCATCGGGCGGTTCGCTGCGGTCAAGGGGGCTGCGGCGGACGCACGCTCGCAATTTAAACTTAAACTATAAACCTAAACTATTTTTATTTAATGCAAGGGGCGGTGAGCTATACAATATAGCTGTTTTTCAGACGCGACCTGGCTATCACAAATTATAGCTCAACGAAGGGGCTCTTCGTGTGGAAATTCATAGCAGCAGCCAAATATTCTGAGTGCGTATTTATGAATGTGACTGGAAAAAAACGGAGGAGAAAAATCCACGGGGCGAGAGAAACGCAGACTCCAAATATACAGCAGGCGTCAGGGTCGGGATCGAACCCACGACCTCCTGTATACCGTGTGAGATAGTTAACATTTCGTCCGTGTGAGCTCCGTCCGCACGTCTTATTCAAGACGTGCGGACAGCATGGGATGAAAGGAATAAAATTGCAACGTAAAATACACGAAAAGTATTACGGTTTGTGCCTTCTACCAGGCTCTTGGTAAAGTATAAAAAAATCAACTAACATAAATACACGAAAAGCGTGCGGGGAATGTCAAGACAAAACCACCCATTACAGCAAACATTCCCTTGAAAGCCCGTCCGTGTTTTTTACATTTATTTTTAATTTACAAAACTATCGCGCAATTGGCGTCCATGTAGTCACGCCACAAAATAATGAAATGTAGAGCTGTCACCGCTAACAATGCACCACCACATGTCAGAGAATGGTCCCAGCAGAATTACTTCATCAGGCCTTTCTATCATGTGCTCTGCATGGCAATTAAACAGATTTTTTTCGTATTATATATTTTGTGAGAGCTGTAATAAGCACAGTTTAATCATAAGTGTATGCATGTATAACTTATTTCGCACGTACGTAGCCAACCGTGCTAATCGGAGGAGCGGGGAAGCATGACACACTAAACACAGAAAGCAGTTCTAAATAAGTTAGTTTTCACTTTAGAGAAATGAGTTTTCTATTTAGAGTCATTTCCTGGCTTCAAACCCAGGATCTCAGCAGTGCCGAGTCAGTGCTCCAGTGCGTAATCCGTCCTATGTGCCCCTCAAACCACCTCATTTATCATTTTCAATCATGAAATCTATTCTCCGTAGGGCCTTCATTAGGGCCTTGATTGGGACCGCTGATGGAGAGTCCAACAGCCGCGTGTGAGATCTCTATTTCAGCTCGTTACCTCGCCGCGCTTGGTGATGCGGCGCAGTTTGTATTCCTGGAAGAGTAAAAAAATTAAATCGTCTGGGCCCACATCTCGTGGTCAAGGAAGGTCGCTCACGTGAAGCCCCCCCCCTGCATGCCGCACTACTGCAACGGGATATGAGGGCGAGCGCTCAATTCGCTGCGGTCATTTATGATCGGTGTGAAAATGTATTCAATATTAATGAAGACTGCTCGCTCGCACGCACGCACGGGCAATATGGCTTGGAGGCGACTATGGCGGCCCGGAGCTCGATTCGACCCTCGGCTGGGTCTGCGCGAGCCGCGGATGCCGAGCGGATCGAGTCCTGGGGCACCCGGGCGTGAAAGGAGAGCAAACCCCTCGAGACCGTGGGCATCGCTCTCCCGTCTCTTCTCAGGGAGAGTGAGCCCTCGCCCAAATCCCTTCCTCGCTCGCATTATCATCAAAGCCCCGCTGTGAGCATAGAGATAAAAACAGGAGGCAGCCCCATGCAATTGCTTCTCCAGACCGCTGCTAGCAGACGGGCCCTTCACGAAAGTAGAACTCTGGAGAGCTTCCGTAGAGGGCATTTGGCCTACTCTTTCACACTGGCCAGACATCGAGAAGTGGAAGTACCCACACTTTACTCCACCACGCCGCGACCTGCCGATACACTGTGTTGTCTACGTTTATACTGCTGGGTAGACAAAAGGCGGGGAGGTGTTTAAGAAGCATTCCCAATGCTTCAACTGCCGCGCCAGGAGATTGAATCTCAGCAGGAATTGGTATTGCAGTATTGATATATTGTGTTCGCGGGCTGCCACTTTCCGCAGCGTCTGACGTGCTGCTAACGAACACACAGGGCGATACGGAGGGGGATACACGCCAGCCCCAATGTCATTTATCATCAGAGGAGTTCCCCGCCCCCCGCCACCATTCAATCGTGAGCTCACCAAAACGCACGCTTTATATTCCGCTCTGCCGGATTGCCGCCCGTATTTGTGTTTGTTTGGTGCCATTTGGCTTTCGCCAAGTAGCAACAACGGAGGAACTATGTCCAGCCGGTTAATTAAAAGAAACGACTTTGCCCAATGAGCACGCTTGCCGTTAAGAGGGGGGGGGGGGGAGAGTTATCCCTAAATCACTCGGCTAAGACCTCACTTTTCACCCGCACCAACCGTGACGGAAGGCAGCATTGATGCAGTTTCCATCGCAGCAGTTACGTAGGAAATGCAACAGCTGCGGACATCTTCTACTTCATTGTTCACGTGCAGATGGGTAGGCTACCAAAACAACAAGAAGAGGATTTATTTTTCGAATTCTGTAAAGAGCCTCAATGCACTGCGATGAATACGAGAGGGTAGTGGTCCATGATAAATAACTATCACGAAGCAGGCGTCTTTAAAGAGCCGCACGGGGCTCCTGATCCACAGGATGTCCACCCCTGTCCACGTGTGATCGCGCTGAACGCACGCTGCAGAGGGCGGATCAGGGCCCGGGAGTTTCACTGCATTCTGTTTACTCCGTTCTCACTCCGTCTCATGCGGCCGCTCCGGGGGGGGGGGGATCGCGAGGCCGAGCCGCGGAGTAGCCGGCTGAGCCCCCGTGAGGTCTGCGCGGGGCTGCTCTGTGAGACTCCTGCCACCGCCTGTCTCCCTTGCCCCGGGGGTGTTTCACATCAGTCAGTTCATTTCGTTCTTACTCCGTCTCGGTGGCTAGGAGATGTTAACTCTCGCTTTGTATGCAGGAGGTTGTGGTGTTCGATTCCGACCCTCACGGCCGTTGTATATTTGGAGTTTGCGGTGTCTCTCTCTGACCGTGGTCGCGTGGATTTTTCTTCGGGTCCTCCGGTGTTTTACCTCCACATTTAGAAGAATCAACAT